CTGCCATGAGTAGTGATAATAAAGGATTTTAACACACCAATCATCTCGTTATGATGAGAAAACGGCTTTTGTTATCTTTAGATAATGAGAAAATTAACTTGTTTTCTGGAGAAAACCACCGTGAAAAAGTATCTGAGGGACACGACCGCTCTTGGCTTCAGTACATCTCAACCCAAACAGGCACAATAAATATTTTTAAACTAGTGGTGGGACATGGTTAAAAACTTTAATCAAATTAATTACAAGGTCTGTAATGAATTAAGCGCTATTAAGCACATTGTAATCAAAAAACATATATAAACATATATGGAATTTAAGAACAACTTTCCTAATATCAAAAATCTTTTTTTTATTACTGATCTGTGGTCAGGGCTGGATTGCATCTTTACTTCCTGTATTTTACAGCCATGTGTGACGACGCAATGACAGCAATGACACGCTATGACATTACGCTTTGTGGTGCTTGGATAATTCGCTTTGAATGAAATGGGAAACAGTATAAATTTACTTTTTGATTTTATTTTATTTTTTTACAGTTTCCATCCAACAGAAATGTTGGATGGAAACACGGCTACTGATGACTGGAGATGCAGCTGTTCATCTGCAGGGAGAAGAACATTTGTTTGTTGATTTCTCATGTAGATTTCATTAAAATTCAGTCTGGTTTTTACAAACGAATATTAATATTATTAAAAATATTATTAAGTTTTGAAACTTTTTTTATGCTTTTGATGCTAGTGGTAAAGAGATAGGAGCAGATGAGGGAAAACATGCTGCCTTGTAAACGTCTGTAATCAAATCCAGCATGGCTAAGTTAAGGACTAATAGCTACCATATAAGGATCATTTACTCTACCATTGCACCATGCACTCTACCCCCCTTTTACTTGTAGTTTGGAATAGACTTAGACAAACTTTATTGTAATTTTGTATACACAGAGTTTATACAAAACAACATTTTGATACATACATCTTTCTGACAGTGAATGAGCAGTAGCTTAGGAGTGAAATTAACATTTTATTTTTTACTTTATTGATCTCACATTGGTGAAATTTACCTCTCCATTTAACCTATGCCCTTGGGGAGCATTGGGCTGCCATTGTGCATTGCCCGGGCTGCAGTGTGGTGTTAAGGGTCTTGCTCAGAAACCCAGAGTGGCAGTCTGTGGGAGTGGGGCTCAAACTCACAACCTCAGGATTCCAAGCGCAATGCCCTAACTACTAAGCCCCCACACCCCCAATTTGCATTTATAAAGTGCAGCAGTGATTAAAATATAAACCATGTAGGATAGACTTGGGATAAAAGGAATGTGGAAGGTTCAGAGCAGTGCAAAAATAGATATAATTCAAATATGCAGTAGAAACACTGAGTTGGGTTCTGTTTTGTACATTCACCATATAGTCCACGTATAATGTTACCAGTGTGATGCAGAGTCTCCATTTGTGACTTTGATTAGAGTTTTAAACAGTTCAACAGTCTTATGGCAGCTTGAAAAAGCTGTTACAGAACCTGCAGTCCATGGTGGGAGTGTGAGGAATACAATCCACATTAAACAATCGAAACAAAGTCAGTACTGTGATTTATTTTTTTGAACCAAAATGTTACATTTTGTATCCTGTACAAACTATAAGAGCATCAGCACACAATAGCTTCATTTGGAGTTGGGCTGTGGATTGAGCTGATGCCACAAAAGCTTTCGGATGGGGGAGGAATAAAATTTGATTAGCAAAAAGAAGAGAAAGAACAAGTCATAATTTTTTTTGTCAGGATCTCAAAAAGTCTTCAAAACAAACAGATCAGGTTACATGACACAGACAGGAAGCTGCAACAGCCAATTCAGTCTCTCTGTGATTATAAACATCCATATCAGAGGTGCAAAACACAAAGTCCTCTGCATAACTAAAGAGTTTTCAAGTAAATTGCATTGCCGTATAGCTTGGCGGCAATAATACAGAAACAGTTAGTCTTTGAAAGAAATATGAAAGACTCAGGCCATTTCTCAATTCGGACGAATGCAATTACGGACTTGTGCTCCCCTGGAAGCTCCTGCTGCTGCAGTGCATGCTGGGACAGCTGTCAATCTTGAAGACGGACAACTGTGCTCCGATGCATACTTGGTAAAAATGGAGGCGCGAGAACAACATCCGCGGACCATGTCCGTTCTCTGTCTTGTGTTCTTGTGAATTGGAACAGTACTAGGACTGAGGCTGATGACGTTTCACAAGCACATGAGAACACAGACATATTGAGAAACAGCCACACTTAAGAAATTTATCTTAATGAAGACCAAACAGTGGAAAACGGAGGTAAACATTCCCTTTGCTTTCATTTAGAGAAGGACCTACTTTTTAGGAACCTGTAAATTCACTTTAAGGACTTGATTCCGGTTTATTTAATGAAGATTTCTAAAAGCTCCATTCTGCTGGTGGAAACGGGCTCAGTGTGAAAGGAAAGCCAGATTAAACTGAAGAATGTGTTCTTCGATTGTTGCTTGTGGTGCGGACATGGTAACAATTAGCAGCCGAGTCTTCATACATTTAAACAGAGCGGATCGTCTTACTGTGGCAAAAAGACCAAAAAGCCTCCTGGAAGGAGACTCTCTTTACCCAAACAGAATTAGGGTTCTGCATTTCTCATTACATCGGCAGATTAGGAGTTTATTTGCCAAAATCCTGTTGGCTTGCATTAAATCATCACCAAATGAGAGAATGAGAGTATCACCCCTGCTTAGTCATGCAGCTTTTATTAGGCACATCAGGGGACTGATTGATGGAGAGAATAAAGAGAGAAACAGAAAAATGGAGAAAAAAGAAACATTATCTGTTGATCCTTTTTCCTATTTAAGTAGAAAAAGGGCTGTTGAGGACTTTAAAGTAATTCAGTACTTTACCATTTAACACGTTGTTTGTTTGAGCAGTTTTTTCTAATTTTATCGCTACCATTGGCATACATCTGTTAAAAATGTGTCATATGGCAGATATAAACAGTTTCTCTTCATCCCTTTAAATGAAGCCAGGGGCTTTCCATCTTTTGATGACTTTTCGGACATGTCACGTCTATTTAATGTAGCAACGTTTTTTTCTTCTGTCATCTTACATTCATTCAGAGGCAACTTTACTCAAAGCCTTTTTTCACCACATAAGACTTCAAAGTCTTATCACAAGTCGCGTGTTATATGGTTAAACGTATTGGAGGGATTTGTTTTCTCTGTTTCTGATTATATAAAGAATAACACGTCTTTGAAAACAAAGTGCTGCTTGAGTGTTTTTGCCAACACCTGCAGCTTGTTTGTTGCAAAGACGTAGAAATGTAAGCCATAATTTGATAATCCCTAAAATCCTTTTTCCCTTTTTATTTTTATCACTATTTATGAGGATCTAGATTTAAAAACTAGTGGTAGGACGCACTTAAAACTTAATCGAGTTCATTACGGGGTCTGTAACTCAGTAGTTCCCAGTTACTCTCCTTTAACTTAATAAAAACATTTATATCAACAAAATAAGCCACTTTTTCCATTCAAAAA